ATTAAAATCCAGTTAGGGGGCCGGGCGCGGTGGCTCACGCCTGAAATCCTAGCACTCTGGGAGGCCGAGCGGGAGATGCTCAAGGTCAGTTCGAAACAGCCTGAGGCAAGAGAGACCACCCCATCGCTACTAAAAATAGAAAGAAATTAATTGGCCAACTAAAAACAATGAAAAATTAGCCGGCATGGTGGCGCATGCCTGTAGTCAGCTACTGGGGAGGCTGAGGAAAGAGGATCGGCTTGAGCCCAGGAGTTGGAGGTTGCTGGAGCTAGGCTGACGCACGGCACTCACTCTAGCCTGGGCAACAGAGTGAGACTCTGTCTCAAAAAAAAAAAAAAGTAAAAGAAAAAGTAAATAACAGCAGAAATACTAATTACGAGCTTTGTTTTTAGCCCGTTTCTGTTTGTACTCGTGAGCTCAATCAGACAATGTGCACACACACCACAGGGATGGGAACGCATCTCCCAAACCGAGAACCGAGAGGCGTAATGAGACTCATTCCACCGAAACACCCGTTTCATCTAACGTGTAAAAATAATAAAAGAAAGAACTGCTTGGAAATACTGCTCATCTCCGGCCATTAAACGTGCTTAGCTTTGACTTCTGTCTCGCAATAGCTGAACCCTATGGCAATTTTCCATAACCACGTGCATCTCGGATGATCCACTGCCGAATTCAAACACGGATTCCTTTTACCGTAACGAAAGAAACTAGAAAGAAGCCTGCCTGCTGGGAAACAGTGATGATCAAACAGTGGTAAGAGAGTAAAAAGAAAAAACTATATATATAATTATATATATATATATATACATATATATAAATGTGTGTGTATGTAAGTTATCTCTATATAAAAATTCTATATATATTTGAAAATTTTATTTATATATACACACATACATATATATAAAATTTATATTCTTGGACCATGCAGGAGAATATCATTTGCTAAAAATAAAAGCTTGAGAGAGTCTCTTTTTTTTTGAGACAGAGTCTCACTCTGTTGCCCAGGCTAGAGTGCCGTGGCGTCAGCCTAACTCACAGCAACCTCCAACTCCTGGGCTCAAGCGATCCTCCTGCCTCAGCCTCCCAAGTAGCTGGGACTACAGGCGTGCGCCACCATACCCGGCTAATTTTTTTCTATATATTTTTAGTTGGCCAATTAATTTCTATTTTTAGTAGAGACAGGGTCTCGCTCTTGCTCAGGCTGGTTTCCAACTCCTGACCTCGAGGGATCCTCCCGCCTCGGCCTCCCAGAGTGCTAGCATGACAGGCGTGAGCCACTGCGCCCGGCCTCTCTTGTTTTTTTAACACGTGAAGCAACCGCTAAGAGAGCTTGATCCTTATCCACGTGCCCGTGCAATCTCTCTAACTTACTGACCTCCGTGCAGGCAGAGGGACTCACTAGAGAATTCTAGTATGTTGTTTCTTAAGTGACTGAACATACATGAGATGCAGTTGCGCTGGGCGGAACAGTGTCTCCTGCAAGTTCACGTGCACCCGGAAGGCGTGGCTGTGGCCTGATTTGGAAACAGGGTTTTGTGAATGCAATGGAATGAGGGTGAGAGCACACGAGAGTGGCAGGGGCCCTAATCGAATGACCAGTGTCCTTATAAGTGCGGGGTAATCTGGACAGACATAGAGCAGAGAAGGACGTGTGCAGATGGAGCCAGAGAACAGGGTGAAGCTGCCACAAGCCTGGGAATGCCAACCACTGCAGGCCACCCCCGGGAGCAAGGACTCCAAGCGGGAGTGTGGGCCTGCCAGCACCTTGACTTCAAATTCCAGCATCCAGAAGTGTAAGAGAATAAATTTCTGTTGTTTTAAGTGCCCCAGTCCATGCTCATTTGTTAGATCAGCCTTAGGAAACACTAATGAAGTCGTGCCCTGAAAATTAAAATGTACAAATATTCGCTCCACACAAGATACAGTTGAGAAACGTCCTACTTCTCTTCCATAGAATTAAAACAAGAGAAAACATTTATAAAAGTATCTCACAAGCTTTAAGAACACCTAATATTCAATGCAACCAACTTTTTTTTTTGCCAGTAAGAGTTTTAATTGATACAACATTGATAGAAGGTAACATGGCAAAAATAATAATTACAAACATCAGTACCTGTTTATTCAGAAATCTACATCTAGAATTTTTTCTATAGATATCACATATGTATGAAATAACAAGTACCTCACCCACAAGCCCTGCCTTGTATCTATCTTAAAGCATTAAGCAGCTCTTAATGATGTACAAAATATTGAATAAGATGATAATTCTCAGGTACTCTTATCAAAATAACAGTCTGATTTCTCATAGGAAAAAACTAAAATGAGGGAAGAAGGTAATTCATATTTTGGAAAACTTAAACTATTAAACCCTGGAACCAGTTCAACAGCACCTAAACAGCCTTTTGCAAAGAATAGCTGCTCACCAATGTTTAATGAACTAGTTAACTTCTAACTACAAACAGACGAGGATTACTAATGCGTATACCTTTCGAGTCTTAGTATCCACAGTTCCAAATACTAAGACTGCACAGCCAATTAATCTATACACTGTATTAACTCCAAACTTTTAAACTCAGGGAGTTAAAGACTTACATCCATTCAAGAATCAGTTCGTTTATTTGACAGATACTTCTTACTCCTACGGTCAAGAAACGACATTCCCAACAATGGACGAGAAAGACACAGTCCTTGCCTTCCTGGAGCCTCACAGTTAGGCAAAAACGGAAGGATGTTATGTAAGGAATCGCACAAAGACCTAAGCGTAACTGAGACACAACAGGTGCCGTGAGGACCCCATCAGAGGCTCGGGTCCATGCGGGCCAGGGAAGGGGCCAGGGGTCCGGGGAAGGATTCCTTTAGGGAAATTATATTTGCGGTTGAAGGATGGGTAGGAGGAATTTAACAGAAAGAGCAAAACAGGAACAAGGAACAATGGGCATTGGAGGAACATAAAAGGAGGCCGGCGTGGTGCGGCCCTGCACGCAGAGTGGGGGCGCAGGGAAGGACAGGGAAGCCGGCAACCCTCCCCCCCTCCCGGCCCCAGGGGTCTTGAGCATGGATGGAATCTTCACTGCAGCCTGGAGTCCTCAGGAAACTTTTTAAAATGGCAGCTCCAGGTGAGGGCGGCAGACCCAAAACCCACATCAAATGTTACCTCCTACTAAATTCAAACCAAAATCACAGTCAAGAGGTATTTTAAAAAAATAAATAAACCCGTTCAGCAGCTACAAAGGCATGGAAGCGAGAAGGCTGATGAACAAGAAGGAAGTGATTTAACACAGTCAGCAAAGCCAACCCCTGAGCCTTCCCCAGGACAGCTGAGAACCAGCGTGGTTCCCCAAAAATAAGACCTACCCATGAAATAAGCCCCAGCAGGATGTCTAAGCATGTGCGCAATAGAAGCCCCACCCCGAAAATAAGCCCTAGCGACGGGCGTGGCTGCGCAGCGCGTCTGCACAACCCATGCGTGTCGTCGAGGAGCGGGAAAGAAGACGAGCAGCCCTTCTCATCTGCCCCGTCGTGACAGCTGCTGTCCCAGAGGTGACCGGAAAGGTGCGGGCAGCCCCACCAACAAGGTCGGCTCCCCTGTCGGGTCCCGCCACCCTGTGCGTGCTGCAAGCTGAGGCTTTGAGGGGAAAATGACAACACATCCCCTGAAAATCAGCCCTAGGGTGTCTTCTTGAGGGAAAATACATATAAGGCCCTGTCTTATTTTCGGGGAAGCACGGTAGGCACAATGAATGCCGCGGAATCCTCGAGAGGGGGAGAGACGAGGAACACGAGATACACCCATAATGGAGGTGGATGAGAATTTGAGAAATAAGTGTGGGGGGATAACTGGGAAGCAGCTGCACCCCTCGATGTTCTCCCTGAGCCCCCCATGAGACCAGCCACCCCTGCCAGTCCTCCCTGAAGAGGATGGAACAGACGGTGCCCAGCCTGCAGCGTGGGGGGACCGACCCACACTGGGGGGCTGACACCCCAGCTCTCTCCTCCCCTCTGGCTGTGGGGAGCACCTGTGGCCCCCCTGGTTTCTGTAAGAAGAAGTGGTCTTAATTGCATCTGATTTTACAGACAAGGGAGGTGCTGGGGAAAAACAAAAAGGCCAGTGATTTGCCAAGACGACTTGACAGCCTGAGTGAGGACTGACTTGTCGCTAAAATCCAGGAAGCCCAAGCCCCAGCCAAAACCTGGAAGTCCTGCTGCGTGCGGAGCCCAAACACCATTCTGATGTCACCCTCCCTAGGAAACCTCAGCTGCGCTTTGCAGACGCGTCCCCTTGGAGGCGAGAAGCAAGTGGACATGTGTCCGCTGCCACCACGCTGAGAGCCGTCCAAGGAAGCCATCGGGGTGGAGCAGCCTGCCCTCCCACGAATGCACAGGGTTTGATCTGTGCATTTCCTCTGACCCAAATGGACCACTGCTGCCCACAACTGAATATCCTATTTCACGTAGGTCTGCAAGCATGGTTTTAGAAGCGTCAAGAACCCGGCGATCGGGTCAGAGGGGCTACGTCCCAAGGCCCTTCCTGCCGCGGGACCCCTGGTGGAAGGCCTGGCACTCAGCAGACACCCAGGACAAGCTCCCTGAGCCACCCAGAAAACTTGAACCGTCACGAGAAGCATCATTTTTTTTCCTACCATTTCAACCCAACAAACAGCAAACTCACACTTGTGATATTTTCTTTTAATTTCTGGGGTGGGGAGGGAGCAGGCAAAATTGAGGTTTCTATATATTAATTCGTTATGAAGGAAAAAACAGTAAACCTTAAAAAAGAAACTGAATCAGCGTCTTGTGAGATCTGGGTCTTTAGGACGATCGCCCCCACACACAGAAAAAAGAAACAGCAGAATGGAACAGATAAAACCTTAAACATTTAAAACGGAAGCCGGCCAAGAAGGTGGCTTTTCAAAGCGGGAAAGAGTGTGGTGCAGAACACCTTTTAAGCATTTCATTCCTGCAAAGAGTAGACAGACGGCTATGAATCAACTTCTTACCTTAAACACTTCCATTGGAAGAGGAAATTTTGCAGCGTCAATAAGGGATTTTTCCAGAGCACATTTCCACTCAGAGGCCATCTTCAAAGGATAGATTTCTGTAGCGACAGCAAACCACAGGAGAGTTTAAGGACTCAAATGTTCTGCTGGGTGGTTCTTTCTTGTATTTTTTTTTTTTTAATTTTTTTGGTCTCGGTCCTTCCTAATAGCTAGGCATGCTCAGGCACAGATAGAATTCACACCCTGCCCGCCATAAACGGCCACCTGCTAAAAGGATTTTCCGAAATTAAATGGCAACTTGGGATTCTGCTGTCAGAAATGAAGAATCAACTTAACAGGGCTCTTCTTCCGGGAATATTTGCATGCATTTTGTTGGCATTCTGTAAGTCATTTAATGGTATTAATCACATTAGCAAAATCTTCAGTCATCCAAGGGCCAAAATTCCATGTTATCACCCGGGAAGCAGCCCCTGCTGATTGAGGAACTTACTATCTGATACATTCCTAAACTTACCAACGACTCTTGTCTGGCATTTGCCGTTATTACAACATATTTTCTCGCTAAATCTCTAAGCTCTCGTGTGCTAAAAATAGTCCCTGGAAGTCAGAAAATTGTTAAAAGGTAAATTAAAATTTACCAACCCAGTTGAATATTTACACTTTGAGATGTTGCTTAACGCACCACATGTTGCCTGTATTTTCCCCTAGGCGGTGGGGGGACAGAGATTTATGGATGGAGGTTATACAGCCGGAATGCAAAATTAAAAGGAGAAAAAAAAAAGAAAAAGAAAACAAAAACGCAGTTGAGCCCTGTTTTTTGCTGAACCTGCAGGAGAATTTTATGGCTTGGTCTCAACAGATTTAAGGCCTTATCAAAACAGGATTTGCAGAAGCAGCACTCGTTGGAAGTAGATATGTCTATACCTTCACTATATCAACCCAGATGACTTCAGACGGACACTCAGGATATGAATATGAATTTAAGCACAGTTAAAAGGCAACATTAAACCTCTGGGACTATATTTTTTAATTTCTTCCATGTCTGCTTTTTAGCAGGGAGCCACGTATTTTTGATCCTCATAGCTTCTGAACCCACCTTGAGCTTCAGGCCCCTGTTTTAGCAGCTTATTCAGTCTTTTCAGGACATACTAATCACAATAGGTGTTGAGATCCTGCCAGAACTAGCCAAGTCACCGCCCGGAGTCATTGTTAAGTTGCACAGACACACACAAAGGCTTGTCTGTGACAATATATCCCCTCCCTGTATCTCTAGCACTTCCTGCGTACTCTCCCACCTCTGGGGGGATTCTTTTTTCCAGTTTGGCATTTCTAAGCCGGAACCAACAGAGAATGTGATTCTTCTTCGTAGCATCTAGAATATTTCGGGGCACAGAGCGGGGCCTCAATGCACACGCCTGCGGAGACCGCACAACCTGCACAGGTGCGCAAGTGAGCTGAGGAGCACGCTGCTCATCACAGGGGGCCTCAAAGCAGGCACAGGGACCAGATCACAGAGCCCTGCACACAAGGACGCGAGGGACACCCGGGGACACACTCCTGGCATCCAAACTTAGTGAGGGGAGGACACTCAGGGGCCCCAGAGAGCAAAACTCGAAGGACACCAGTGCAGGGGCCGGGGAGAACCAGCAAACTAGAGGCTGAGTGTCCAGGGGAGCACAGACACACCGCCGTTTTCCAGCAATCTGGAGGTAGGCAGCGAGGGAGCTCCACCTCGGCGTGGGAGGACAAGGACCAACTCACGGGAAGGGATGGGGATTTCCAGAGACAACATCCAAGACGCAAAAATGGAGAAAAAGGACAAGTGGCACCCTCAGCTCTTTCGATCTGTCATCGGGGCTGCTTCTACCCTTGACCCGTTACGGGGGTCTCAGAGTGGGGGAAGGAGGCCCTGGGAGAGAGACCAGGGTGAAAGAGTGGCCACAAAAAAAAAAAAAAAAAAGCACTCAAGACTAGTAGGAATGAAAATCCAACCAGGGCCAGGGTCAGACCCAAACCGTCAGAACCCAGCAAGGAGGCTCGTAGACCGTGCACGCTGGCCCAAGGGGGGCTCCCTGCAACGCTGAGCCCTCTGTCCACACGATGTCGTCCCTCTCTCCCTCCCCGCCAGAGACAAACGTCCCAAGAAGCCCAGGTTCCAGGTGGTTTCTGCCTCTGTCCTATCATATGAAGATTCTCTGTCTTCTTCCTGAGGGTGTGAAACCCCCGAACGGAATCCAGCTCCACGGCAAGGCATGCCTCTTTTCTGAAAACCCGACAGTCGGCTGCAGTTCTGTGGGCCCGACCACCTGCACAGGCTAACCAAGCCCCCAACAGACACCGTGTGCAGAGAGCAGGACTCCCCATTAAAAGAGCATAAAACATCTCCGTAAAATGACTGTGCTGCTGCAGCTTGTCTAACAGGGTGCATCACGCCCGTTTCTGTTTGTGGGGAGCCATTAGCAATCAAAGCGCATTCTGACCCGTCTGTAACTAGGAGCCCACAAGAAAAGGAGGCAATCTCCCCCGTGCGAGGGCCCGGCCGGTTGTTTCATAACAAGTGCCGCAGGAAGCAGAAAAGCGTAAAGTAATCATAAATAAACAAAGGCCGCTGGGGGTGATCCCTTCTCTCACGCACGGCCCCCACTCCCCCAAAACAGCCTCTGCTGCTGCTTCCTGCTACCATGTGTCTCCGAAAATAAGACAGGGTCTTATATTTACTTTTCCTCAAGAAGACGCCCTAGGGCTTATATTCGGGGGATGTGTTATTTTTTTTAAGTATGGTACAACCATCTACATTGATTCAAACAGAGTGAAGTCGTCTTCTTCTGGGACATCATCCTCACTCTCCAAACCCCGAATTCCATCCTGAATGTCTTGCGACTCTATTTCCTTTAGAACCATCGGCCCCAATCTCTCGTGTGGAGCACTAGAGCTCTCACAGGGCAGATGAGAAGGGCTGCTCGTGTTCTTTCCTGCTATGAGACGACACGCATGGGTTGTGCAGACGCGCTGCCCAGCCACGCCCGTCGCTAGGGCTTATTTTCGGGGTGGGGCTTCTATTGCGCACATGCTTAGAAATCCTGCTAGGGGTTATGTTATGGGTAGGTCTTATTTTCGGGGAAACTCGGTACATCAGATCCCTTCCAGACACGAAAGACTGATCTATGGCTGTTACAACAGAGGAAACGCTGGGAAGTGTTATGGCTGGGAGGTCTGCATCTGCCCCCAATCCTTACATTGAAGCCCTGATCCCAATGGGATGATGGTATTTGGAGATGGGGCCTTTGGGAGGTGACTGGCGTTAGATGCCATCCTGTGTGTGAGGCCCTCGAGATGGGGTTAGTGTTTTTGCAAGAAGAGACCCCAGAGCTCACTCTTGATCTACCACGTGGGGACACGGTGAGAAGATGGCCTTTTGCAAACCAGCAAGTGGCCGTCCCCAGACCCCGACCACACCGGCCCCTTGTGACCTCACACTTCTCGCTTCCAGAATCGCAGGAAAACAAACATCTATTGTTGAAGCCACGCAGTCTTAGTTAGGCGGTTTGTTTTGGCAACCTGGACAGACTGATATAGAAACCAACAACTTCTTTTTGGACTAAGAAACAGTTCAGGAAGGAAGTACTTTAAGTTAGATTCAGAAACTTCCCGACTCCAGGAACTACCTAACACAAGAATTTAAAAAAATAAAATAAAAGAGGTTGAAAGGATTCTGAAGGGGAAAAAATATGGGGAAAAAATTCTATAAATAGAGAAGAAGAAAAGAAAACCTCAAAAGGTTTCCACCCGTTAGCGTCTGCAAGAACACCTCAAGGTTTATCTTGTTTTCTGCACGTCCAGAGGTAGGGAGTTGGTGGGGCTTCTTACATGACCACTGGCCTCAAAGAGCTACTTAAACGTCTCAGAAAACCAAAGTTTACTCTGAGCATGGATCGAATACTCTGAGCATGGATTGAATCCCTAGAAAATGCCAATCCTTTGATATACATCATGCCACTCAGCAGCCCAGCCAATGTGTAACTGTCCCCGCTGTGCAAGGCCAGTGGCTTCCTTCACTCCTGCCCACCTTCCCCCCCCCAGGCACCGGAACGCTATTTCTCTGATTCCTGCCCGAAATGCAAAGGCTCCGTGACTCTGTGCTGCTCAGAGGTGGAGAGTGTACAATCCAGCACCTGTCCCCAGAGCTTTTGAAGACTAACTTCCCAGCTGATCTCTATGTGTCCTCAACAGGTGAGAAATATTATGACCTTTAAACAAATGAAAAAGGATAAAACCAAAGATTATTTCTGACCACAGTGGCAGTCTTAGTGAGGGGTGCAAGCAGAGGACCCCCCCCTTCCAGAGGAGCTCACAGGGCCTCACTCTCATCTCCCCTGCACACCAACCTTCCTTCTCACCGTCGGTTACTGCTGGACACTTTGCACGAATGTGACGGTGTTTGGGAAGCAGAAAACTGGCCCAGTATTTTCCAGGCTGGTCTGAAATGTTATTCCCACCTGTATTTCAGGTAAGGAAATGGTGCTATCATGTAAGTTGCACAAGCCACACTGGGACGTGAAATTAATTCATACAAAAATCCCAGGTACCGGGTTCTGTTCCCGTGTGCGGAACGTGGATAGTAACGGCCTCTCCTCCCCGGGGAAGGACGTAACAGGTTGCAGCTTTGATCTTGTCACTACTGTATTTGCAGAACACAAAGTCGAGTTTAAATGTGTTTTCAGGCCGGGCGCGGTGGCTCACGCCTGTAATCCTAGCACCCTGGGAGGCCGAGGAGGGCGGATTGCTCGAGGTCACCAGTTCAAGACCAGCCTGAGCTGGTAGAGCGAGACCTCATCTCTACTATAAATAGAAAGAAATTAACTGGCCAACTAATACATATAGAAAAAATTAGCAGGGCATGGTGATGCATGCCTGTAGTCCCAGCTACTCAGGGGGATCACTTGAGCCTGGGAGTTTGAGGCTGCTGTGAGCTAGGCTGATGCCACAGCACTCACTCTAGCCTGGGCAACAAAGCGAGATTCTGTCTCAAAAAAAAAATAAAAAACAAATGTCTTATCACCTTTTATTTTCTTCTTCCCATACACAACCTTTCCTGCTGACAATTTCAATATCGGGGAAGTCAAGTTCATGATGATGAGAAGGCCTTTTCCAAAATCTGTAGGGACCCCCATGGGGTCTTAAGTGAAATGGACAATTTTATGTCCAGAAAAATTCTAAGACAGCTGAACACGACTTATTCTTATAAAGATGCCAAAGTATCTTAAAGAAGGGCAGAGCTCATAGCAAATATCTCCTGAATTTCTACGGAGACATATTCCATTCTTGCTTTTTGATCCTAAGTCCCCTAATTTCACAGGAAAGAAACACTACAGAGAACCTAAGAGGCGACTAGTAATCCTCTGCTTTGTACACCGGCAAGTATGTATTTCTCCTAAAATCTATAAAGCAATTAGACACTAAGCTGAGATTTATACACACAACTTCCTGCACAAAGTAAATTTTTCCTGCTGGGTTATGAATCCAAGGGCAAACCTGCACTTAGATCTCTTCTCCCAACCCCGACAGGCCCCTTTGTCTGTTGTCATAGCCCAAAATCACTCAGGAAATAAATGGAGTTCTTGGCTGCTTTGCAAAACTTTGCACATTAAGAAAATACCACGTGACTCGTCTGTGTGCCTGTCAAATTTAACACAGATGCAAACACGTGCAGTACAGAGCCAGGAAGTTTTTCCAACTGAAGCCCCTGAGTGACAGAAAAGAAAGATCACCCGTCACTTCCACGTACCCAAGACTAGCATCGGCAACTCATATGGGAGGGAAATACGCTGGTGATTTTAATAAAGCAAAGAGCCACGTCTTTATTCCAAACATACCTGAAAAACTGACCAGAATAAAGATCAGCGGTTTCTTTTTTTTAAAAAAAAAAAATGTATTTCTTCCTTGGCATCTTTGATTCCATAAGAATCCAACATTTTTGTTCTGGGGTTTCCCACTAAAAGGTTTTGGTAAGGAGAGGCTGCAGTGGGAGGGGGTAGGATGGGCACAGCACCTGGGAATCTGAATTGCATCACCTGGCCCTGAAGCAGGGGGACCTTGGACAAGTAGCTTAACACCCCAGGCTCAATTTTCTCTGCTAGGGGATGAAATTCACACCAAATGTGCAGCAGTTTTTTGGAACAAAAATAAATATCATACCAGATGTAAAATCACCTGACACATAGTAAACATTCAAGAATGGTTATTTTGTAAACACTGAGATTTTTGACTAGTTAGATATGTCAGAACATAATGCACTGTTCCATCCAGCTAAGCCTGTGCAAAGTCATTTGACGATGCATTTGAAGCCAACAAAAATCCATGATGTGCCAGGGGAAGGCATGATGATCTTCTCGGTGCTTTTTCCTAGTCAGAATGGATTGTGGTTTGGATATTCAGATGGATGGATAAACAGGTGGATGGATGACTACGGAAGGATTGATGGAAAGAAGAACGGCTGGATGGGTGAGTGAGTGGATGGATGGATGGGAGGATGGATGGTTGATGGATGGAAGGGTGGGTGGATAAATGGATGGATGGATGAAAGGTGGATGGATGGATGGATAAATGGTAGGATGGGCAGATGGATGGAGGGGTGGGCGGATGGATGGGTGGATGGATGGATGAAAGGGTGGATAGATGGATAAATGGATGGATGGATAAATGGATGGATGGATGAAAGGATGGATAGATGGATGGATAGATGGTTGGATAGGTGGATGGATGGATGGATGCATGGATGGATGGATGGATAAATGGTAGGATGGGCAGATGGATGGAGGGGTGGGCAGATGGATGGATGGATGGATAGATGGCTGGATGGATGGATGAAAGGGTGGATAGATGGATAAATGGATGGATGGATGAAAGGGTGGATAGATGGATAAATGGATGGATGTATGAAAGGATGGATAGATGGATGGATAGATGGTTGGATAGGTGGATGGATGGATGGATGGAAGGATGGATCAAAGAATGGATAGATTAATGGATGGATGGATGGGTAGATGGATGGATGGATGAATGGATGGATGGATGGATGGATGAATAGATGGATAGATGGATAGAAGGATGGATGAAAGAATGGATAGATTAATGGATGGATGGATGGGTAGATGGATGGATGGATGAATAGATGGATGGAAGGATGGATGAAAGAATGGATAGATTAATGGATGGATGGATGGATGGATGGATGGATGGATGGATGAATAGATGGATGGATGAGAGGGTGGAAGGATGGAAGAGTGGACAGATGGAGGGATGGATGTATGTATGGACAGACAAACGGCTACCTGGATGAATGTAGATTTTGTAGGATACTTGCAAGACTATCAAAATCCCTAAAGAAAAAGGTGGAGACTACGCCCACCTCTCAGTGTACTGTATCTTTCCTGTCTGAACCACTAATTCCAAAGGAACCAGGTCAACCTCCCTAAGGCTTCCAACATCACTTTCTCTTTTGCGGACACTACCGGTCGAGATCTTTGGTTTTATTCCCTATGGGAAGTATTGTGAAGTTGAAATGCTTACTAGTTTCATATCCTCAGATGTCAAAGATACCACAGAGCTAACAAATTTTCCAGAGACACATGCAGGAAAATACCCCATCTTTTTATTTCAAAAAAAAAAAAAAAAAAAAAACACTACACAGGAGCAAAAGCTTTGGCCCTTACCTGTAGGTGGGTCCATTCTGTATTTATTCTCTTGACACCAACCAACTGGTCGAAGTCTGTAATCCAAGTAAAACAACCACTGGTCATAGGATTCAGTGTCCTCCAATCCCACATAGCGAAGGCGTAATCTTCCTCCAACATTTTCAATCACACTAACTATCCAGTACTGAAAAGGGCTTTGAGAATCCTGAAGTTCTATTAAGGAATCAACTGTAATGAGGTCTATAGGGCCTTTCCCTCGCAGAGGCTGTTTAAACAGAAGCAAAACTCCTTATTTTAAACTTTCTTTTAAGGTTCTCATGGAAACAGATGACAGCAGAAGATAATGCTTTTTTCACACCATCATCCAAGCTACCGGCAAACAGTCTGGCATCCTCCCACCCCCGCCCCCGCCCCCGCCCCCACCCCTGGGCACGGCCAGCGCCTCCCCACACACACATCCGAGTACCCAATTCCCAACCCAACAACCAACATCACAACAGAAAATAACAGTGGGTGCTCAGTTCTCACCAAACAAATCACCCTTCCCAGATAAAACTGCATTTGTTAGACATTGAGATGCTTTTAAGAAGAGTCATGCCCCAAATTTGCCTGGAGCTAGAAAAATGTATGGCGGCAAAATGTCTGCTTTCGGCCGGGCGCGGTGGCTCACGCCTGTAATCCCAGCACTCTGGGAGGCCGAGGAGGGCGTATTGCTCGAGGTCAGGAGATCGAAACCAGCCTGAGCAAGAGCGAGACCCCGTCTCTACTATAAATAGAAAGAAATTAATTGGCCAACTAATACATATGGAAAAAATTAGCCGGGCATGGTGGCGCATGCCTATAGCATACACTGGGGAGGCTGAGGCAGGAGGATTGCTGGAGCCCAGGAGTTTGAGGTTGCTGTGAGCTAGGCTGACGCCATGGCACTCACTCTAGCCTGGGCAACAAAGCGAGACTCTGTCTCAAAAAAAATAAATAAATAAGTCTGCTTTCCCAACAGACAGGTATTTCTAATACAGGGCTATAAATTTATAGCATGATTCTATAACATTCATGCATCTTACCATGGCCCCTGCTCTGATAACCAAGACCCTCTCGTGCTTTCATTATGTGAGGAAGGCCTGATTGTGTATGGATGACGTGGCTAACACACATTAATGATAAGCTAAATGGACTATTGTGTAAAGTTATTTCTACACCTAACCTGATAATTGGTTTAGAGAATTATAATTACTGTCCCTTCTTAGCACATGTTAGCATATGAAAAGGGTGTTTGTTCAGCCAGCCTTGTAGGCAAATAGCTTTGAAAAATTAACAGAGTAAGACAATTTGTCCCTTTGAAAGGGTGAGCCATCGTCATTTTGATTTGCTAACCAAACAATTAAAATAGAAGCTATTAAGATATAGAACAAATACATTAGGCAAAATCTTTACAAAACACAACCTGCTTAACTGTATTAGACAATGATGCTCTAAAGTACCAATATCATTTATGAGAAGAGGTTAAAAGTTAAGGTTAAGAGAATATGATATTTTCAAAATCCAAACATTATTCCTCGTTATTCCGTAAGTTTCCCCCTTTTTAAGGGGCACTCTTAAAAAAGCAGATTTGGTAATTCAACAATTATTTATGACATAGTACCATTTCCTTTCCTGCTCTATTATATATAGTAAATATTAAGATGTTTCATCATAAATTTACTTTCAAACAAACCATCAAGACATCAGATTAAACTAATTGTTCTTTAGTATCTTCAAATTGCCTAACTACATTTAAATATGGTCTACCACTTCTCCTCTTGTTTTTAACAAGGGAAGCTAATTCAATTATCAGTTAACACACGTGTGTTCAAATCTTGCAGTTATGCATCTAAAGTAGAATATTCAATGGGATCATCTACCAATGTGCTCCAGGAGATTCTATTAGTGCATATATATGCTTAGTGGTCACCTGTTCAAAACAGGTATTCTAAAAGATTTTTATTTGCATTCACTAATGTACGAAACAGACTTAAATTTATAGGACAGGGGGAAGGTATCCTAACATATTTATATTTAAAAATGCATTCACATGGAGCAAATTTTCCACTTATCACAGGGCAAGCAGCATCAATGCCATTCAAATCAGTCACCCAAGTAATTCAGGACAACAGCAGGACAGGCTATGAGCACAGAGGTAGGCCTGTATCCGCAGAAGGATATATGCAACAGGTGCCGTTAGGTCTGAGCTCACGTAACTGGGATGCTTCTGAGACACATTTTTAACCACACATACACCTTCCAGGGATGCGTCTGAGATAGGTTAGATGTATAATGACAATACATACACCTTCCAGCAAGTTTGCAGGTGCCGTCCTCGAGCCAGTCAAATCACGTATGAGAAATTCCGTCCAGTCCGTGTACTTCTCTTTGATTGCTGGCAAGACAAGGGGAAAAAAAAAAAATTTCAACACGGCAGCAGAAGTATCAGATAAGCTTAAAACCACAGGCGTTTTCTGTAGGTAGGTATTATTTCAGTATTTTTCTCAATTTTCAGCGCCGTACCTAAGTAAATACTGAAACTGAGACATCAAAGCTGCCAACACAGCATGATTCACAACCTACCACGCATCTGGCCAGCAAAAAAGGTTAAAGACTCTGAAGTCCTGAAGTCTTACCACCTGTTCAAAAGCTTCCTACAAACAGCAAAGAAGATATGGCAAAGCGCATGATCTGGGAAGTCCAAGAAGAAACAGACCAACGAGGCCCTAGGACTCGGAGAACAGTATTCCACGTGGAAAAAATAAAACCAGGCTCTGACGTATAGAAAACCGTTTCCACAGGTACAGAAGGAGGGATTTGCAGACTAAGAAATTAGCCAACGCTAATGAGAAGGGTGGAGTGAAGGAGAAACAGAAAAAAGTCCAATCGGCCCTGCATATGCCCAAGTTCAACCGACCAAAGGTGAAAACCATTTGGGAAAAACAACAGCGTCTATATTGAACATGTACAGGCTTTTTTTTTTTTTTCTTGTCATTACTCCTTAAACGATACAGTGTAACCACTACGTACACAGCATTTACATTGTATTAGGCGTTGTGATTAATTTCTAGAGGTGATGTAAAGTATACAGGAGGATGTGCGTAGGTTCTGTGCAAATACTATTCCATTTCATACCATGAACTTGACTCATTTTGGTATGGGGGTGGGGTGGTCCTGGAACCAACCCCTCACGAATGCAGAGAGACGACTGCACTGCATTCAGCAAGACCGAGGCTCACGGGGAGCACACAGCACTGGGAAATAATGTTGAGCGACAGGAATAAAACTATGGGCGGCCCAGGGAGTCAACTCAGACACCGAATAAACAGGACATCTCCGCATCAAATGAACGTGGCGAGAATATGAAGGTTTGAATGGAAACAAAAGCGTCTAAAAAAGCAGGGAAACCGAGGCTGCTGCAGTTATCCAAGTACACAGATACATGGCAGGGCCCAAAACAGAGCTTGTCAGCACTGGGAACAAGGAACGAATGTGCCTGAGACATCTTTTCAAAAAGAAGTACCAGATCTGGGGCGCCAACAATCTACAAGTGCTCAGAAACTGAGCCCTGAGGAAAAACCTACCGCTGGTGGCACCCACATCCCTGAGGGGCCTACGCCTTCCCGGGGCACCAGGGAACTTGCAAAGTCCCCAACGCTGAGAGCAAGACACTAGCCCCAGAAACCCACTGTCCCACACTGCGACTCCAACCTCTCAGCACAGGAAGAGCCAGCAGCCTGGGATCCACATGGTACTTAACTTAGCCTTTGATAAAGGACCATTATTTAGGGCCTTCAAAGGCTTGATGCCACCCTTTCTAGCCCAAATGCACAAGCACAGAGTTATGGTAAAAGAGAAGCTGGCCTTAAGGGCGTGGGGCAGTTCCAGGCTCCAACATCCGTTCTGCCAGCCATCGCTGGGTGCATGACTTGGGGTAATTCACTCAATTTCTCTTACACTCCTTCCTCATCGATAAAAGATGCTGACGATATTTTGTTTACAGGGAGTGCTCTACAGACTAACAAAGAGACATGCAAATAAACTACAACCATCTCCGGCACACACTAAGCCACTAATAAATATTAGCCCTTGTGTTGTTGTAAGTACATGCTAAATTATTACATATACTTATGTAACCCTCGGGCTATTTTATAATGTTCATTCCCACAATTTGCAAATTGAAACCTCCAACAAGCTCTTGCAGAACCGCCAATAGAACGGAGACCATGGGCAGCGCCTGCTACTTCAACCACCAACGTGCACCTCAGTGGACATCCGCCCACACCCAAGAACGATCATGAGACCAAGAGAAAAGCCAACATGGGAGGTGCTAGGGTAAACTAGGCCGGAACATTGAGCTTCACCTTGCATTAGCAATGTCCTGACCTTACTACACTTGCATCAAAGAACAACTCATTCGTTCATCCGATTTTATCGCTAGATTTTTTTTTTCTCAAATAAAATATCACCTTCCTTACTTTATACATGCATACTCACATGGAAAAACAAATATTTGGGGAAAATAAAAACTGTCTTCTTAGATTCTCGTCCATCGTTAGAAAATGTAATAATCGTTTTTTAAAATGTTACGGCCTTTTTTACGTTGGCCCTTCTGTGTGGCTAAGGTTACTGAGGCCAAAAGCAAAGAGAAACGGGATAAATAGATTAAAATTTGTATTCACTTTATGTTTTACAAAGACCTTTCATTTACTTTATCTGCTTTGATCCTCCTAACAGTGCTATGAGCTTTTGGTCTTAATTAACTTTTGCCCAAGTTCATAGAAAAAAAAAAAAAAAACGAGGGCCAGAGCCAGCCTCAAATCCCTGAGCATTCAGACCCCAATCTTACAAGGGAGATTTTCCACTAGAATCTCTTGATTCTCCTAAGCTTTTGTAAACAGATAAGTCAATAAGCTAAACTGTAGGCATGATAATGGTGATAATATGAAATGAACTATCTAATGAAGGTTCCCAGAAAATATACAATTGTACCCTAAATATGCATTTCGTATATCATTACAAGAGAATGACAATTATAATCAAGTGATAAATGGTCCTATGCTTAAGAGAAGTGATGTCTATATCCACCGTGAGAAGAAATATTGATTTTCCACTTAAAGGTTGCTTCTAACAAGCATGCAATCCAAGCTAACACTGAAGTCAAAATTTTCAAAATACATAAAGCACCCTACGAAGTCATTGCATGATGTCAAAATTTAAATTGTCGGAGTAATAGCGAGAGAGCACTAGAAATGGCTCTCAACTTTACGTCTTGTGAGTCCCAGGTTCCAGAAGTCCTATAACTTTCCTTTAATATGTTTCTGTTCGAGACTCTGAAGTGATCTTTTATGGGCCACAGAGTATCTAAATAAACTGCTCTCCACGGAAAACGTATCTATAAAGCTATAAAGGTACACAAACCGTTGCAGGTTAAAAAATAGAAAGGAAACGGTTCTCAGGAATTTGGCTAATTTTAAAAGAAAACGTGTTTCAGTCAACATTTAGTTCTCAAGGTTCTGAATTTTTAAATATACAATGAATCTATTACAATAAATACTGTCATAAAATAAAAACGAAGTATAACAAATTTACAGTTCCCAGGTAATGGATTTATTTTAACCAATAATCAATTTGTTTAAGCTCTGGTACAATAAATGTTGCCTTGTAATTCCTTAGAATTCACTGCCATGGAAGAGAACAGGCACTGTTTTTCATGTATTCACTGAAACTTCTAACTAGAACTTTTATCTTTTATTATTATTATTATTTTCAGACAGAGTCTCACTCTGTTGCCCGGGCTAGAGTGCCATGGTGTCAGCCTAGCTCACAGCAACCTCAAACTCCTGAGCTCAGGCGATCCTCCTGCCTCAGCCTCCCGAGTAGCTAAGACTACAGGCAGGCACCACCATGCCCCGCTAATTCTTTCTATATATTTTTAGTTGGCCAATTAATTTCTTTCTATTTTTTTAGTAGAGACGGGGGTCTCACTCTTGCTCAGGCTGGTTTCGAACTCCTGACCTTGAGCGATCCACCCGCCTTGGCCTTCCAGAGTGCTAGGATTACAGGTGTGAGCCACGGCGCCCGGCCTAGAACTTTTAGAATCATTAATTTTCACTCTATAGAACACCTCTCTTTCAAAGACTCAAAATCAGAGGCATGAGAACCCAAGCACAATCTCTCCCACCTGCAAACCAAATCCTTGCCCTGATTATTATCATTACTTTTTTCTTCGAACCGAAGGGCAGACCCACACATTAAACGTCAGAAACTCACAAGCTGCCCTGAGCCCGACAACACTAAGGGTGAACACGATGGCAGGGAAGTGATTAGGGGGGGGAAATCTGCAATGTCAGGTGGAGGGGCTTTTATCCACAACCTCGTAACCACTGATCCACGCGTTCAATGTGCAGAGACAAACTCCTAGAAACCCACAAGAACCATAAAATCGTGATCTTTTTACCACCTTCTCTTGACGGATTTTTCAAGGTTCTATTCAGTTGTGATATTCTATGAACGTTCAGCTAGATTAAGAATCCAAGCTGAGTAGTATTCCATGGTATATACATATAGAACCCATTCTACTAAGTGAAGTATCCCAAGAATGGAAAAACAAGCACCACATGTACTCACCAGCAAATTGGTATCAACGGTTCAACACCTAAGTGGACACATAGGAGCAACATTTATGGAGTGTTGGGAGGGTAGGAGGGGGGAGGAAGGGATGGGTATATATCATCAAACGAGTGAGATGTGCAACGTTTGGGGGATGGACACGCTTGAAGCTCTTACTCAAGGGGGGTGTGGGGAATGGGCAATATATGTAACCTTAACACTTGAACCCCCATAATACGCTAAAAAAAAGAAAAAAGAAAGAATCCAAGCTGCATCCCACGAACGCCCGCCCCTCTTTGGGGAGAAGCCCACATCATATTGAAGGAAGGATCACAAACTTGAGTTTCAGAAAAAGAACACACGCATGCGCGCGCGCACACACACTTTTTTGAGAGGACATTTAGAGATGGCTCCAAATCCCATAGTAGCTTTCTTAGAAAGCTATAAACAGAACCTCAAAGAAAAGGCAGAAGGTGACTATCATTTTTTTTCCAGAATTTGGGAAAACACCACCAATCAGGATCACGCAAACAGCGTGGCCGGAAACAGGCAGCAGCACGTGGGCCGGGGGGCATTCCCGCGCTCGAGGTCCCGGAGGCACCCGGGTTGGGGCGGCTTTGCGCCAGGGGGCCCAGGCCCCAGCAGCATGCCCTCCAACTGGCCACACGCAGCGCTGGCCCGCGGAGATGCAGAGCAACAGGGAGGCGGCAAGCGGCCATGTCCCGGCGCCCACCATTTTCCCTATCAGGCCCACCCACGTCCCAGAAACTAGAACAACTGGCA